AAAAGCATTCTCTGGACAGCAAAATCCAGAGCAAACTATATATATAATAAACTTTCAAAATGTAATATCACAAGTTTTTATATCTACACTGCTATGTGCTCCATGATCTCTCTATATAACCCAGGGCTGGCCAAAGAAATTTGACTGCCTGAGGCATATGACAAGATGGCACCCACCCATCCACCCACACAACCCATGTACAGCAGCTCACTGGACTGGACTGAAACCTTATTTCAGCAATGGCAATGGGATAAAAAAACCAGTGTTCCTGGTGGCAAGTTGCTAGTTTAAGGGGCGTGTGACAGATCTATGGCACACGTGGCTCTGAGGGGCACTCCCAGGGGGCTCAGTTGGAGTGACTGAGGGCTGATATTGCTATGCCTGTTCTGGACTATTTCCCTAACCTACCAATACTTCTCAATATGCCTCTCTGGGTCCCTTAGAGGTCTTCTCCTTCCTTTCTCCTTCCTTTCTTCTTCCACAGTACTCCAACCATGCTAACACTTTCCAATAGTTCAAGCTTAGAGCAGAATGCTGTTTCAGTTTTGATTCCCAAAATCTGTTGTGCTTCTTTCCACCTTTCACTCTTATATCTTCAAAGTACCTTAAACGAAACATTTGACCCTCCTGTGAACTTCTAAACTTCTGGTCAGCCCCTAAAACAGACCCCAATCGTTTTCTAACAACCAACCAGAACACAACATGGTGGAACATTCCTTCCCATACCTATGTAATCCCAAACATATTATGTAACATCATGGCTGCCATCCTATGCAAAGATAACTCGGGAGAAAGACCCATGGAACTCCTGAACTTTCTTCTGAATAAACAAACATGCACAGTACCATGATATAACTTTGGTCTTCTTCCTCTATTTTTGAAGGACCATTACTGCTTTCAATCTCTTCACCAACTAACATAAATCTAAGCGAAATCTGACAGCTGGATAGGATTTTACATAACGTCACCTGTTATGCTTTCTGGCGGCAATGTCTTGACAGCTGCATTATAAAATATATCTCCCCTCTCCAAGCATCTCATTCAACTGCTGTGGAAAGCATGTAAATGTGCAGTGCATAGTGTCAACTAGCTATTAGCCTTACTGCTACAGCTGTTGTCCTGTGCTGAGAAAAAGCAATCTGAAGCAAAAGCCTTAAGCAAGTCCACTTTCCTTTTGAACAGGAATCTCCATCATTCTGATAGGATGGGGCAGTGCTGCACCTACAGCACTGTACAGCAAGATTTGCCACTCCAGCACTGCTTGCAGAGCCTATAAAAGGTCTCAGTAAATATTCCAACAAAAACCAACAATGCACCATTTTGTGCTCTTGTCATTCTTTCCCTGCTCTTTTACATGTGGGAGGCATTTTGTGCTATGCCATATCCCCATGGCAACCATTTGTGTTCTGCCATATGCACCACAGCAACTATTTTTCTCAAAACTCCATGGCCCAAAATGGTTGCAACCCCTAACAGGTTTGTATTTCTTCTCCTAATCAGCATGTTGGAGCAAGGTGTTATATAAGGACAAAATTACCTCCGAACTCTGATAATATCCAGATTTTTTTCAGTGGATTTAGGATGGAGGTGTCAAGAATTCTGCTCAATATTGATCCAGAGCAAATTCCAGTGTATAGTTAGCAGAGTAAAATAAACGTAGCTCGTTGCAGGATTCCCAAAAAAATACAACAGGGGCAATTGTATTTCATCTGGCAGAGCTTTACTGCTACTGAAGGCAAATGAGCATAATGGTCAAAAATCCATACATTAAGGATTGGCACTGCCCATAAGAAATCCAGCTGCAGCAGTCTTAACTTAAACTTACAATAGGACTAAAACCTTAACGCTACGCATACTATGTACAGAACACCATACCAGAAGGAAAGAGAGATAAAAAGTGAAACTCAAGCTCCTTCTGGCCTATTATTATAGTCAGCATGACCTTGAGTGAAAGAGATAACAGAACCAGTTTAAACCAGCTGTTCAGCTTCTCTGAAGGAATAACCCAAACATCAGAACCTTCTGCCTCTTTCTAGGCAGAATAGAAACTTGCTTGTCGGCTAGAAACTTCCAGCTTGCACTAGCTTATATCACACAGAGAAGCTTCTAGAACCCTCTTGAATCAATAAAATAGAAAAGATCTCTACACAGCAGATCAATACCTTCTGTACAAAGAAATGCAAACTGAGGAGGCCCATCTTTGTAAACTATACTTGGTACTGGACTGTGTGTCCAAGCCCCCGCAGTCTGAAAATATGCAGCAACTCTGGTGAGACCTGGTTAAGATACCCAGACCCTGCCTCTTGTAAGTAGTTTCAAGAGCTGAAGGTGCAGCAATGATGGGCATAAGTTGCCCAAAATTTCAGGCCCTGTTGCATGCCAAAGGTATGAGATTATTAAAACTACTCATTTGATAAATAAAGGTACAGCCTGCTCATAAACTTTGTCCACTAATATTTTAAAAACCTTCCCACCCAAAAAAAAAATTCCTACATTTTTACTGGACTGAATGTGTCATTCACATTACCAGTGGGCACAGCAAAATTTAGGCATCCAACTGTATGGGAAGACTGTCATAATGGTGAAGACTAAGGTATATAGGAAGGAAGGTGAAATATTCTTGCTGTTAGGGGAAAGAATTCTGAAGAGATATGTCTGGAGTGGAAAGCAGAACATGCAAAAGCACAGCTGCCCGAAGGAAAGAACAGAAGTAGACATCCATTAAATAATTGAATTAACCTCTATTCAGCCTTTTCAACTGACTGCTATTTACTTTGATAGCTTGCTTGTTTGTTTTCTTCCAGGTTCACACACAATATTCTCTGAGCCTCTCAGCAACTGCAAGAAAATTTGAAGTCTGTATCTCAGTGTTGGTAAAAAGTGCCCTGCCTGAAGTAACAATATAGAGAAAAATTAAAATAGGACCTCTTGTTGCAGTTGAAAGTAGGGTGGCCCAGTTTTCTGTGAGCCCACTCTCCTAAATATTAATAATTCTTATAATATTTTTAGCATTTTAATATTATTCTCTGATGTTGCGTGCCCATTTCTGCAGCTGCAAGGAATTGAAAGAACCATTCCATTCCTTTGGAGCATAAAACAGATGTCCAGTTCTGTGCTAATATCTGTTGCCACCAAAATATTTTGCAGCAGTTCTCATGAACCAATCCAAATATTAGACCCAAAGGACACCTCCACCAAACATGACAAAAGCCTGCATGTTATTATTGCTAATACTGCTAGCATTGTACTTATGGGGCAACACCGCCAGGTATCCTGGTAATTTGCAAGGTGTGGATCAGTTCTGTGCTAAACAGGTTTAGATTTGGAGATAGTCCAGGTAACTGGGTATTTGGGTCTATGCTGCCTCCCTCTTTCATCTTGA